GGTGAGTGTGCAGCAGAGGGATGGGGAAGAGAGTATGGTGAGTGTGCGGAAGAGAGTCTAGTCGATTTTTGAGTTGACTCACGGAGTATGGTGAGTGTGCGGAAGAGAGTATAGTGGAGATGTAGTTGCTCCCCGTTTCCCCCCTTCACCACCCCCCCCCTTCCAGGCACCTTCTCCTCTCGGTTCGGCAGGGAGCCCCCCAGCTGGAGTGGCAGCAGCGCATGCAAATAGCTCTGGACGCCGCCAGGGGCTCATGTTCCTGCACCACGCGGCCAACCCGCCGGTGATTCATAGGGACTTCAAGAGCAGCAACGTGCTCGTGGACCAAGAGTGAGTGTCATACAGTCACGCTGCTAGAAGGCGCACGCATGCAGATAGCTCTGGACGCCGCCAGGGGGCTCATGTTCCTGCACCACGCGGCTAATCCGCCGGTCATTCATACAGACTTTTAGAGCAGCAACGTGCTGGTTGATCAAGAGTGAGTGTCTCTGCTCTGGCCTTAGAAGTGCGCCCCTAGAGGAGCATCACGCCGCAAAGGGGCTCATGTTTCCGCCCGTGGGGAATGACGCACTCCGTGATTCTGCCTCCAGTGCTATGTGTAATTTGAGTTGACTCTGAATGCTCCGGTGCTATCTTATCTCCCTCTCCTCGTCTCCCCCCCCATCAGTTTCCATGCGCGCATTGCTGACTTCGGGTTGGCCCGGGATGGCCCCAGTGGGGAGAAGCGGTGGGTGTCGACTCGAGTGCTCGGCACAACCGGCTATCTGTCGCCAGAGTGAGTACTACGAGGGTGTACTGAGCAGAGTGAGTACTACGAGGGTGTTTTACCCTGTACTGAGCAGAGTGAGTAATATGAGGGTGTTTTACCCTGTCAGCAGAGTGAAGGATGGTTTACAGTGTCACCCTGTTCCGGTCCCATACTGTGTGTTGGGCACTACCTGTCCCTGTGAGATTCTTGAGGGTAATTAACCCTAATTCTCTTCTCTACCAAACTCGATATTATTATTTTCTCCTCACCACTCTCTTTCCACCATGACTACTGTCACTCACCACACTCTGTCCTCCCTCCCTACTCTCCTCACTCTCTCCCATCCTCATTTCCCCCCGTATCTGCCCTATCACGCAGGTATGTGACAACCGGGCGGCTAACAGCTAAGTCGGACGTGTACTCGTTTGGCATCGTGCTTCTGGAACTGCTGACAGGGCTAGTGCCTATTGACCATGACAGACCGCCCAACCGGGTGTCGCTCACATCATGGGTGAGTGGTGGTTGGGAGTAAGGTGTGGTAATCTGGGGTGGGGAGGCGGCCGTGCTGCTGGGGCTGCGGAAAAAGCTCGTGCCCATCTACCATGACAGGCCGCCCAATCGGGTGTCGCTCACATCATGGGTGAGTGCAGATGGGAGAGGATGGGAGGGGGGGGTGGGGGGGGGGATATAACGGAGGATGGGGAAGAGAGCCAGTGGTGCTGGTGCCGGGTACCCCAAATCCCGCTAGTGTTGACACGTTGAAACCCATGCCGCTATCTTTCACTTACCGCTGGTGCCCGTGCCACCCCCCCCATCAGGCCCTACCCCTGCTGACGCAACGCGAGAGGCTGGGGGAGCTGCTGGACCCGCGGCTGGATGGGGCCGTGCCGCTGCACGAGTTCATGCAGGTATGATGGTGGGTGGGGCGGTGCGTGCTGCCACATGTGCGCATGCTGCTATGAGCGCGTGTGAGAGAGCTGCTGGACTCGCGGCTGAATGGGGCCGTGCCGCTGCACGAGTTCATGTAGGTATGGTGGTGGGTGGGGCGGTGCGTGCTGCCACATGTGCGCATGCTGCTATGAGCGCGTGTGAGAGAGCTGCTGGACTCGCGGCTGGATGGGGCCGTGCCGCTGCACGAGTTCATGCAGGTATGGTGGTGGGTGGGGTGGTGCGTGCTGCCACATGTGCGCATGCTGCTATGAGCGCGTGTGAGAGAGCTGCTGGACTCGCGGCTGGATGGGGCCGTGCCGCTGCACGAGTTCATGCAGGTATGGTGGTGGGTGGGGCGGTGCGTGCTGCCACATGTGCGCATGCTGCCATGAGCGCGTGGGAGAGAGCTGCTGGCCCCGTGGCTGGATGGATGGGGCCGTGCCGCTGCATGAATTCATGCTCGTGAGATGTGCGCTGTAGCGAGCTGCGCTGGGTGTAGTGCATGCTGCTATGAGGGCCTGGGAAAGCTGCTGGACCCGCGGCTGCCATTACAATGACCCTCTCAATGACCCATTGCAATGACCCTCTGTCTCTCCTGATGCCCGTCCCTCCCCAGTCCCGCCGTCCCTCCCCTGTCTCCATAGCAGCCGTGTGTCTGCATGCAGACCCCGACTACGGCGCCCGCACATGCATCTGCCGTGCCGTCCCTCATGCCGTCTCCCTGAGCCTCCATCCCCCTGATGCCTGCCTCTCCCCTGTTCCTCCCTTGTCGCCCCCCCCTTGTCCCCGCTACAGGCTGCCTCAGTAGCAGCCGTGTGTCTGCAAGCAGATCCCGACTACCGCCCGCACATGGACGACGTGGTGCAGTCCCTCATGCCACTCTGCAAGGCCGCTTGCTCGCCCTACGCCTCCCCCGCCCAGTCCAACCACTCGTCTCTGCGATGACAGCCCTCTCCTGTAATGGCAGCCCACTCTTACCTACGGCACTGATCATCTCTCCTCCCTCCCAGCACTTTGGAGGCTGCCTGCTCGCCCTACGCCTCCCCAGCCCAGTCCAACCACTCGTCCCTGCGATGACAGCCCTCCCACAGCCGTGCCTGCAGCGAGGAGCCCCTGCCACCATTCACTCCTATACCGCGGCCTCTACACTAAATAGCCCTCCCCCGCCCAGTCCAACCATCCGTCCTTGCGATGACAGCCCTCTCCCACCAGTCTTTTCATCACACCCTCCGTCTGCAACGATGAGCCCCTGGGTCATCACCCCCGTCTGAAACGCCTGTACACTCCTATCCCCTTTACTGATCTAGCGCGGAGGTGACTCGATACTAGTACAGTAGCCCTGGTGTAGATCTGAGCGCTAGCCAAGCAAGTTGTTCAGCTAGGTTATATATCGATCGGTAGTGGCGAAGCAAAGTTTTTTTTTGTCCAGGGTGTAGCTAAGGCTATAAATAAATGGTAAGCCGTCTGCTGAAAGTGGCATGCATGTTTACATGAAGCAATACTAATACGGTAAGATGGTTAAAGTTATGCTGAAAGTGGTATAGGATGCAAAGGCAACATCAATTATGGACCTTTTGTGGAGTCACTCTGTTATAGAGTGATGCAGTTCGGTTTCTTGCCCCGTGTCAGTGTTTGGTGCGGATGTTCTACTTTGTTGGAATGTTAAAGAACTTGAGGAATTTTCGGAGTCTCGCGTGTGTGAACGAATGCGCGAAGACTGCTACAGTACCACCGACGGTTGACACAGCTTGACGACATCCCGCAGAGGTTACAAAAGGGCAACCGGCCGCGGACCGTTGACCGTGCAGCAACCCAACAGTCAGAATCGCAAGAGTCAAGAGTCAGCGCGACAGTAAGGACAAATAACCGTCCCGGTCTTACAGTACGGGTGGTTACCCGAGTCCTTATCGATTCGGTAAAAAGGGAATGTGCCCCTTTGAAGTGCACAAACAGTTAGACTTTCATATTCTCTTATATTATTATATAAACCTTGTATCCCTTTGCTATAATCAATCACTTTGTTCTCACATACCAGTACAAGGGTTCAACTCAAGATTCCGCTGTGCTATCAAGCACTCTGTTACAAGGACTTAGCATTCTGAAAAGATCATAGGGCTATTCTCACCCAACATGGTATGTGAGCTAGTCAGAAGCTACCGCTCCTGTTACAAACTCCCTCAGTGAGTTTTAACTTGGTTACAAAACCACTCGCAACAATCTCAGTTTATCATTGAAGGATACAAGACATGGCGCCATCTAAGGGCGATGGATCCTCTACTGGATCCCCCTCTGCACCCCCAGTCTCTGGACTACAGACTGAGGCTGTCGCAGCTGCAGGAGGCCTCCACGCAACCAGTGGCCTCCTCCTCGGGCATGGATTCGAATCTCATGGAGAAATTCTTCTCCTTCATGTCGACCTACGAGCAGTCTTCGGCACCTGCTCAATCAACACAACAACAGTGGAGCAATTCCGATGAGCCTTGATGGCACATCGTATGCAAGAGGCGCACAGCCTACACAGCACCAACCATACCAGCCCTCGCCATGCTCGTTTACCTTCCTGCCGACTCCCGCGCCAGCAGTGGATTCAGATACAGCAGACAAGCAGTCCGACATAGTCACCATGCAACAACAGTTCAACAACATTCTAAAACTGCAGACGTCCTCACCATTCAACGGCAAGGACTTCTTCGCCTGGAGCTTCGAGTTTGAGTTGCTGATGGATGGCGCGCAAATCCTCGACTTCTTCACCGGCTCCTGGCCCTTCCTTGTAAACAGGACTACTCAAGAGAAGAAGATTTACACTTATCAGTCGCTGATGGCCTTCATCATCCTCTTGCGCAACTTGACATCAACGGAGCAACAAAGCATTCGCACGTATCGCAACTTCGGCAACTCGGCCGAACTGGCATATTGTCACTTGAAGAGTGTCTACCAAGCAACCCACAGCGTGACTCAAAGCCGGCTGATGGCACAACTCACGACGATCCAGATGCAACCAGGAGAAAAAGCGATGACGTTCATCAATCGATGCAGAGGCTTACGCGACAAACTTCTACGGAACGGTGGACACTTATCGGAGGATTTGTTCGTCACGGTCGCTCTTGCTGGCCTCGGTCCTCAGTGGCGTACGGCGCGCTCCCTTCTAAGCGCTCACGGGAGGATCTCCGAGTTGCACTTGTGCGCAAAGCTCCACGCCGAGCATCAAGACATGGACCTGTACGAAGAACAAGACACAGAGAAACCGAGTCAGCAACTCGCGTTCTACACGCACGGAAGCAACCGCAAGAATCACCATCAGAAACGACACTCACCTCCGTATTGTCATCGATGCCGCACGACGAGACACTCGCGCTTCAACTGCCCAAGGCAACAGCACCAGCAAGAGCAGCAGCAGCCGCAGTTCCCGCAGTATCAACCTCATGTGCCACGTCCGTTATCGAGTCCGGTCGCTTCAATTCAGCGGCGCCCACCATCTCCGACGAACCGCTTTGCACAAGACGCAAGGAACATCGTAAGCTGCATGGCACAAACAGATTTATGTGTACCCGACTCCCCACCTCACAGTGATCTCGATGAACAACCCCCAGCTCCGACACAGACCCGGCTCTAACCGAACCCAACTTACGCTGCAATAGCTCGCGACGAACTGTCCGGCCACGACACTTGGTTTCTTGATAGTTGCTGTGGACAACACATGTGTTCTTCGGCGAGTTTTGTCCAGCGAGAGAAGACTCTGAGCCGAGAAGTCGTTATCACCGTTGCCAACCACCAGAACCTGCGCACACAGAATGAAGGGGTCGTCCAGTTACAATCCAGCGAGACAAACGTGATACTACAGATGTCACGGATACTTGTCGTCGATAACCTCGGCTACAATCTACTAAGCGTCGGCCAGCTAATGTCAAAGGGCATTCACCTGGAGTGTGATAGCTTTGATCAGGAGTTCCGTCCCTACCACGGGAAGGGCGGTCTCTTCATCAGCACAGCCATCCAGAAGCATGAAGTCTTCGTCTTGGACTTCGTTCCAGACCGCGGACCGCTGACAGCGATGGCGTCATCTCCTTCACGTCTTGGACACACCGCCAGATCTTGATCCTGGATTCAACCGAGACGGCTTCTGGTACTCCAACACGATCCCTGAAGCAAAAAGCACACGGGCATTCTCGGTGATGCAGGATGGAGAGGAACAAGAAATAGAAACACAGCTTGTAGCAGAACCACAAGCGACGACACAAGAACTTCGTGCAAGTCCCATCGCTGGCGCCACCCGTCCAAGAAGCTCCACCTGGGATGCCACCTATTGATGCCACCTATTGATGAAACGCCGCCGACCGACGCCGAGCAGCTGAAGGCGCATCCTCGAGAGCACTATCAAAGCGCCGCGACCACCTCCGCCTTCTACGCCAAATCGGACCTGTACCGACGATCTGCGGAACACAAGGCGAGCGAGGAAATATGGCATGAAAGGTTAGGACATCCCAGCAATGTAAAACTATTCGACAATATTCGTGCGAACGTCCTGGACAAGGACGCTCTCCTACTTCTCGATGGTCGTGAAATCTGGCGACCTCGACACACCTGCTTTATCAGTCCGGAGGCAGATCTTCCTCGTCAACCGTTCCTGTCGCATCACAACCCGAGCGCACCAGAGTACGCTCTACTCGAAAAAATATACAGCGATATTCTGTATATCCCGCGAGAAGTCGGCCAGGCCGGCCTCAACTACGTTATCACCTTCGTCGATGCCGCGACCCAATACACCTGGCATCTTAACTTACCGTCACGTGACCTTGCCTTCTCTACCTTCGTCGCATGGCTTGCTGCAGCAGAACGGGAGGGAGACACGAAACTGAAATGCTTTCAGTCAAACGGGGCGATGGAATACTAGCCACAGCGATTCAGGGACTACCTCGCTGAGAGAGGAATCAAGAGGCTCGTCACCCTCCCCTACGCTCACCAACAGAATGGTGTAGCACAGAGGATGAACAGAACCCTCTAGAACACCATGAGGAAGCTGCTGACTGGGATGTGTCTACCCAACTCGCAGTGGCAGGAGGCGATGAATCACGTCATTATGCAGCAGAAACTTATGTCGTCAAGCTCCCTGCCAAACCACGCATCACCGCATCTGCTGTGGGCAGGGAATCAGGGCAGCACAAAATTGTTACGAGTGTTCGGCTGCATGGTACAGTACCGACCACACAGTGCACAAGCTGGACGATTTTCACAGCGGGCACGATCGGGTTTACACCTCGGTGTGGAAAAACACTCTAAGGCCTGGAAAATCTTCGACGTGAAAGATAAGGAAACAGTACCGGCGCGTGATGAGATTTTCTACGAGAACCTCACCCTCAATCATTACCTAGAGTACATCGCAACCAATCAAGACCCATCTGGTGGTTTCGCTGGCGCACGCACATTCTCGAGAAAGCGCGAACGCTGAAGCATACTACCACTTCGCCGACACTGGTTACGTAACACCCAACAGCGTCGACACCAACGTTTCAGAAAGAGTGGACCAGGTTTCGTACCTGATCCTGAAGCGGGAGACGAAGCAGACTATCCCGAGGATCCGACACTACCCTGCTACACCAAGACCAGACTGCAAATCCTCGGACTCGTAGTAGCTGTGCATCCCCCGTCCTCACCGTCGCGAGTCGAGGAGCCGAAGACCGTCAAGCGAGCGCTGCAAGGACCACACAGGGAAAAATGGAGGGAGGCAATGGATCGAGAATTAGCGGCATTGCACGAGAGAAACATTTGGAAGGTGATTCCAATTTCTCAGACCAAGGGGCAGACAATCCTCTTCGAGAAGTGGGTCTTCAGAGTGAAGACAAAGGCGGATGGAACCATCGAATGAGTCAAAGCATGATGGGTGGTTTGCGGCTTCGACCAGCAGCACGGCCGTGACTACACCGAGACCTTCGCTCTGGTCAGTCGCCACACTTCTCTCCGCATTCTCCTCGCCGTCGCCGCCGCCTGCCGACTTATTCTGCGACAAATCGACGTCGCCACCGCATTCCTCTACGCCCCGGTCGATGGCGACATCTTTGTCGAGCAGGCACACGCGTATGTCGATGATCCCATACTGGTGTGCGTCTCGTCAAATCCCTTTATGGGATCAAGCAGGCCCCGCGCCTGTGGCAGCTGTACCTACACAGGGTCCTTACCACCATGGGCTTTGCCCAACTTCCTCACGACCAGGGCATGTACATGCCATCCCGCTGCGGCGACTACGTCCTGCTGATAGTCTACGTCGATGACCTGCTCTACGTCGGCTCCACCGCTTCCATCACCGTCTGGTTTGAAGGGGAGCTGGAACTTCAGCTAACCATCACCGTGTCACTGCACGTAACGTAGTACCTCGGCCTCAACATCACAGACGGCCCGGACACCAGCCACCTCTCGAGATTGAAGTACGCCGAGAACATCGTTCGGCGGTTCGATCTCTCCCCGCTACCTCTCACTACTCCGTACGCCTACGCGCCGCCGGTTCCCGCATCGACCGCCTCGCTACTCGCACCAGCCGGGATCCAGGAATATCAGCAGAAGCAGGGCTATCTGCTAT